TGAAGGTTCTTTTAATTCAGTGCTGGGTGCTGCAATGTTAACTTCAAGAACCTCTTCAGGAATCTCAATATCAGCACCATCTATTTTTATGCCTTTGTCCATATCCGGTACCTCTGCTGTTGCACTTGTGACACCCACTCCAAATTTTGGCAGTTGGAATGTTGGCATTTTAAACTTTGATGGTGATCCTTTCTTTCCCTTTGTTTCAATCTTTTTCTCAGGAGCTTCAATTTCCACTTCAACACAAGGTTTTTCAACTTCAACATCTGGAAGTTTGACTTCAGCTTTGTCTTCTGGAAGTGTAACATCTGCATCTTTCTTTGATAAACTTAAATCGATATCTGGTCCTTTGGCTTGAGGGAAAGACAATCCAAGACTTGGCAGTTTGAACTTACTTCCTTTTCCTTCATGTTCAGCTCCTGTAGTTTTCAGGGTGAGTGAAGGTTCTTTCAATTCAGTGCTGGGTGCTGCTATGTTAACTTCAAGAACCTCTTCAGGTATACTAATATCAGCACCATCTACTTTAACATCTGTGTCCAAAGCAGGTACTTGCGCTGTAACACTTGGGATACCAATGCCAAATTTGGGTAATTTGAATGTAGGCATCTTAAATTTTGATGGTGATCCTTTTTTGTCTTTTGTCTCAACTTTGAACTCAGGAGCTTCAATTTCAACTTCAACAAAAGGTTTCTCTACTTCAACATCAGGGAGTTTGACTTCAGCTTTAGCTTCTGGAAGTGCAACATCTACATCTTTCTTCGATAAGCTTAAATCAATGTCAGGCCCTTTGGTTTTTGGGACAGACAATCCAAGACTTGGCAGTTTGAACTTACTTCCTTTTCCTTCATGTTCAGATCCACTGGTTTTCAAGGAGATTGAAGGTTCTTTTAATTCAGTGCTGGGTGCTGCTATGTTAACTTCAAGAACCTCTTCAGGAATCTCAATATCAGCACCTTCTATTTTGATACCTTTGTCCATATCCGGTACCTCTGCTGTTGCACCTGTGATACCAATGCCAAATTTGGGTAATTGGAATGGAGGCATCTTAAACTTTGATGGTGATCCTTTCTTGTCTTTTGTCTCAACTTTTAACTCAGGAGCTTCAATTTCCACATCAACAGAAGGTTTTTCAACTTCAACATCATGGAGTGTGACTTCAGCTGTAGCTTCTGGAAGTGTAACATCTGCATCTTTCTGTACGTCTTTCTTTGATGAGCTTAAATCAATGTCAGGCCCTTTGGCTTGAGGGACAGAAAATCCAAGACTTGGCAATTTGAACTTACTTCCTTTTCCTTCATGTTCAGATCCACTGGTTTTCAAGGAGATTAAAGGCTCTTTCAATTCAATGCTGGGTGCTGCTATGTTCACTTCAAGAACATCTTCAGGGATACTAATATCAGCACCTTCTATTTTGATACCTGTGTCCAAATCAGGTATTTCTGTTGTAGCACTTGGGATACCAACTCCAAATTTTGGTAGTTTGAATGTGGGCATCTTAAATTTTGCCAGTGAGTTCTCATTGTCCTTTGTCAGATCTTCAATATCAGGATCTTCGGTTTCCATTTGAGCAGAGGGTTTTTTACGTTCAGCATCAGTTTTGGCTTCTTCAAGTGTTTCATCTACATCTCTCTTCAATAAGTTAAAATCAACTTCTGGTCCTTTTACGTTTGGCATTGTTATTCCAAATTTTGGCAATTTGAACTTGCTTTCATGTACTTCGATTTCATCTCCAGTCTTTTCCTGGGGAAAGAAAGCTTCTGCACTCCCAAGACTTACATCGATTTTAGTTTTAATTTCAGTCTGTGGTTTGACAGACCGTTTCGTTTCTGACAGTTTCATATCTTCATTTTTCTCTGATACACTGGAGTCAAATTCAGACCCTTTTATTTTTGGCATTGCAATTCCTAACTTTGGCATCTTGAACTTGCCTCCTTGCCTATCAAATTCAACTTCTGCCTGAGGATGTTTTATTTCCTGGTCATATTTTTCTGCCTCCATTATTCGTTCTGCAATACAAACATTTACACTTCCAAGTGTAACATCGGTCTCAGGCGGTGGTGTCACAGCTACACCTTTCTTTGATAGACTTGAATCCGTTTTTATTCCTTTCACCCTTGGCATGGAGATACCAACATTTGGCACTTTAAACTTGCTACCCTTTCCCTCTCTTTCAAGAGTTTTTGTCTCAGCTTCATCAGTGTTTATAGGCTTATCTCCATCGGGCACATTTACACTGATGTATGTAGTAATAGCTCCAAATTGAGGCAATTTAACTGCATGCTCTTCAGTTTCTGCACTTTTTGCTTCTTTTCTAATTTCTTTCAGGGAAATATCCACGTTTGGTTTTGACTCAAAATTTACATCAAAACCTGTAAGCCTAATGCCATTGTCCTTTTTGGCTGGTGAACCATCTACTGAGTCAATGTATTCAATGCTATCAAGTTCAGGAATCACAACCTCACATACAACTCCTTCAGTCTGCCCCTTGTCTTTTTTAATTTCATCTTTTGATGTCGTTACTTCTCGGAGGAATTCAGCTTTTTCTCCTTTTGTTGTGTCCCCTTTTTGCTGAAAGGTATTTTGTTTTGGCAAGACAATTCCAATATTAGGGATTCTTATGTCTGGCTTTGCTATCCCAAAGCTAGGCATTGTCATCTTTGCCTTCTTTGATTTCTTATCTGATTCATATTCAGATTTGATACCCTCTGTTCCTCGTGTTTCATCAGCCTCATGTGCCTGAAGACTAGATACTTTCTCTAAACTTTCCTTTCCCTGTATTATAATATCTTCTCTTTTATAGGTCCCAGTTTTAATCTCTTTGCTGCTTTGTTTTTTCTTAGTTTCATGTTCCTTTTCAGTTTTTACTGTTGTTTCAGTTAAAAGATCCTCTGAGGTTAATTGACCGGTTGTGATCTGTGACAGCTTAACTGTAGTCTTGGAAATTTCTAGAGAAGAAGTTGTGTCAAACTTTGTAAGACTTGCTCCATGCTTTGTTTTGGTGTCTACCACTTTTGTAGGCGTTTTCACTGATATTCTTTGAGCATTTGCATCTATCACAGTAATTTCTTCTGGAATAGGCATGCCAGATGTATCAACTTTAGGCAGCTTATATCCAGGCAATTTAGAAACTGCCTCTTTCACACTGTCAACATCAATTGACAGTTGCACAGTTTCCGCTTGAAATTCTCCATTCTGTCCTGTATAATTTACCTTAGGTTCTTTAATTCTTTTTGCTCTCGTCTTCACAGACTTATCCTCCATACCTGGTATCTCAATCTCTTCCCGTTTGGGAAGTTGGGTTCTCAAATCACTGCTTTTTGCCAGTCTCTTATAAAGATCATCTGTGATTTCCTCAGCACCAACGTCACCCAAACTGAGTTTCGGCAGTTTGACAGTTTCCTCTGTTCTTCTGTCTTCGTGTTTTTCTTGGATTTCTTTGCCTTTCTGCCTTTTTGCTTCACTTTTCTGTGGATATTTATGTGAAACTGCAACATCAGATAAATCATGTTCCACCTTAGCATAAAGAGCAGGATCTTCTGTGTGTGACTCAAAGTTTGGGATTAAGTCAGATTTTTCATTTTCAGGATGATCAGCTAAGTCAAAACTTGCCCCTAGTGTTTTTAGCCTTTTTGGTGACGATTTTGCTTTTGCTTCTTTCTTGTGTGATTTATCCTTCCCCAGAATTTTCATTTTTAATTCAGACCTTTCTTTCTTCTTCTTTTTCCCCTCAGGGGACTTGATATGAGAGGGGCTTTCTTGATCTGCTAGAGCCACAGTTAAATCTGCTGTTTTCAAAGTGCTATCTATACTGATAAGTTCCACCTTATGTTGAATAGGTTGAGCTTCACGGACCGTTAGATTGGTTTCTTCAAGTTGCACATCTTTGATTACTTTCAGATCTTTTTTCACATAGGCTTCAGGCATTTCTCCTGAGGGGCTTTCAAGGCACTCAGGTGAAAGCATATCCGATTCTTGTGTGTGGTGAGTGTCACCACTGATCTGTCCAGTTTGCACATCTGTGTCCTGCTCCTCAGATGAACTTATCCGGCCTCTCTTTGTCAGACCAGGTAGTTTTATTTTATGCTTTTTCTTGTATTTGAGAGCGTCCTGAGTTTTTATTGGTGACTCTGTGTCGCTTGTTGTTGGGCTGAGTTCAAGCTTTCTTTGTTCCTCAGCCTCTGAGGAACTGTGAGACCTTGTAAAACGTGATTTTCGCCCTTTTCCAAAGGATGAAAACTTGGGCCACGAAATGCGAGCTTCTCCGCGTCTTTTAGTTTTTCCTTGTTCTCTCATCTGTGGAGTGTGGAGGTCTTCTTCCTGTTAAGAAGCATAAAAATTAAAGGTAAGTCGTTACTAACAAATAAAAATAACTAACAAAGAGTTTGAGCAGACAACTTTGAGAATAGTTACAGGTATAACGTCAGATTCGATGGCTGGTTCGGTCTCTGTGATCTCTGGCTTGCGCTTCAAGCAAAGCTTCAGTTTATATGCCTGAGCATGCTCCAGAATCTGAATGGCATCCTCATATGACATGTTGTCAAAATACACAGTGGCACTCAAAATCTGATCACCTGTGTAGACAAGACAAAATATTTCAAAAGAACTTTGATGAGCAGACTTTAAGTCCCATTTTTAGTTGATAAAAATTGAAGTGTTCAATAAAAAAATCAAATAAAGAATAACATTAACATTTGCTTGTGTTCAACGTACAGTGCTAAAAAAATTATAGTAACACTTTGAAAACACATAAGACCTCAATGGGAGGAAAAAAATCATGCTGGATATCGATGTTGATAAAAACTGGGTAATGTGTTAGGAATGAATGGCCTCATCATTTGATTGAAATAAAAATTATCAACTTACAGGGGGCTGAATTCAAAAAGCAGACTAGTCCATTTTGTGTCATTTTGTGTCATTTTGTGCTTGAATTCATGCATGACAAATTCAGGCAATGCTTCCAGTGAGACAACAGATGGTGTCCTGGGGGATCTCCTTCCAAATCTGGACCAAGGCATTACCAGGTTCCTACAACGGGGTAGCATTGTATGGACCGAAACATAACATCCCAGAGGTGTTCTGTTGGATTTAGGTCAGATGAGCTTAGGAACCAGTCAATGGTATCAATTCATTCACCCTCCAGGTACCATTGCCTACAAGGAGGAACCCAGGATCAACTGCACCTGCATAAGGGCGATCGTGGCTCAAGAGTTGGCAGTTTGTCTTGTAATCGGAAGGTTGCCAGTTCGAGCCATGGCTCAGACAGTCTTGGTCGTTGTGTCCTTGGGCAAGACACTTTACCCTACTGCCTACTGGTGATGGCCAGAGGGGCCAATAGTGCGATATGCCAGCCTCACTTCTGTCAATCTGCCCCAGGGCAGCTGTGGCTACAACTGTAGCTGCCCCCACCAGTGTGTGAATGTGAGAGTGAATGAATAGTGGAATTGTAAAGCGCTGTATAAATGCAATCCATTATTATTATAAGGTCCTGTGTAAATCTGTTTTTAGCCTACTGGAGGTCATTTTGTAGCTCATCCTGTTCCTCCTATCATAAAGGAGCACACCCCATTAAGGAACTCCAAGAAGTTCATTCCAATACCTAATGGCAGTCAGAGGGCTGTCACCTACCCTGTCTAGTCTGTGTATCCCTTCATGAATATGCTTCCCCACCACCAATCCATTCATGTGGAATGATGTTACGGGCAGCATAATGTTCTCCATGGCTTCTCCAGACGCTTTCATGTCTGTCACCTGTGCTCAGGGTGAACCTGTTCTCATCTGTGAAAAGCACAGATGGTACACCGGCCAGTGGTGGACCTGTCAATTCTGGTATTCTATGGCAATGACAATAAGGCTCCAGAGTGCTGGGCAGTGAGCATAGGACCGACTAGAAGATGTTGGCAAGTTTGTTTTTAGCCTGCAGGAGGTCATTTTGTAGCTCTGGCAGTGCTCATCCTGTTCCTCCTATCCCAAATGAGCAGATACAGGCTCTGCTGATAGGTTAAAGGCCTTCTATGGCCCCATTCACTCTCCTAGAGTAACTGCCTGTCACCTGGAACCTCCTCCATGCTCTTGAGACTGTGCTGGGAGACACAGCAAACCTTCTGGCAATGTCACATTGACTGGTCCCATCCTGGAGAAGTTGGACTATTTCTCTGCATAGTCCTGATATCACCTCATGCTACCAGTAGTGACACTGATCCTAGCCAAATACAAAACTTGTCAGAAAAGATGAGGAAGGAAAAATCTCGGTTGCCTCAACCTGTAAAACATTCCTGTTTTGCGGTTGTCGCACCATTGCCCTTCTAGTGTACCTGTTGTTAATTTCATTAGCAACAAAGCAGCTGAAACTGATTAGCAAGCCCCTCTGCTACATATCTGACCACGTCAGTATCCCAGCAGTTTGACTGACTTGATGTTTTACTCTAATTAAAAGTGTTCCTTTAATTTTTTGAGCAGTGTAATTGTCAATTGAATATTGCAAATTAAAAATTCTACAATAGCATAACATAAAATCAAGTAGAATACAGAATGTAATGATACATAGTAATGTAATGTAATAATATAGAGACTTAACAAGGAGCTTTAAACCTATAATAATTTTAATGAGACTAATTTTTAGCCACAGGTTTACCTTCTTTCAGTTTTAGATTTTTGGAGGCTGGTGACTCTGGCACTACTTCCTTAATGAAAATTCCTTCTTTTCCCCCTCCACCATAAACGAGACCCTCTGCACATCCATCTTTGGCCGTTTTCACTATCACCTCAGATTCAGGGCTCTCAGCTTCCTGCCAGTGCAAAAAAGGACAGTCATTTTACCTTTAGCAATGTTTTTTTTTTTCTGCAGCTGCATAGCTTGGAAGGATTTACAAATGCAGTACAGAGAGGAAAAGCTAGAAATGTCTCACCTTGAGTTTACTCATCTTTGGAGTAGAGCGCTTTTCAAACATGGACCCAAGCCCAGACTTTTTAGTTTTCTTTCCAGTCCCACCTTTGTGGCGTGGGTCATGCTCTGCTTCAAACTAAAAGGAGTTTAAGAGGAGCAAAGGGGTTTAAAAAGTGATCTTATAATACTCAGATCAGGAGGGTACATTCATTTATACAGGGGAGTAGCCAAGTTATTGCAATATTATACAATGCACTGCTCATCTTGAACCACACAAATCTGTAAAGAGAAATAAGTAATAGAAAGTAAGTAATAAAACAACTAATAAAAACACAATGTTATCTTTCACAGTTTCTACATTTTCATGTGGATGTTGTCCAGAAACAGACTTCTTCAGTTTCCTTTTTTTTTTGTCATTTCAGGACATGCAGCCGTGTGAGTATAACTGAGTCGAATACACAAACTTCTTTCTTTCAGTCACAAGTTTGTTTTTCTAACTTCATTTATTTTTTGGCCTAAAAAATAGACCATTGACTTACAAGCAGACTATTCAATAACTGTGAGTTTACATGCAGTGAAGTAGCAGCGTTATAATTTCCCAGCTGAGGTGAAGAATTAAAAGAAAACCAGTTATTTCTGCCAGAGAAGCCTGATTTTTTT